GTTTTATTAGGAACATATAATTATCATTATTATTTTTGATAATTTAATTACAAAACATTTTAATTTTCTTCAATGGAAAAAAAATATCATAATAACTTTTTTAAAAAAAAATAAAAAGGATCTAATCATATTCATAGCAAATATTGTCTATGCCTTTTCTTTTTTTGCCATGTCAAGGGAGGGCTAGGAACTATGCATCAAGGTTTTTAAACCGAACTGGTCAATGAACCGTTTTAGTTTTGGTTGTTAGTTTAATCAATTCAATTGGTTCAATTGATCAATTGACTGGTCCAAACATAAAAAGGAAATTTGAGGGCAAATTAGCAAACAGCACAGCACAATAGAGAGCAAATCAGCAGACAGCACAACAGAGAGTAGCTTTCATGAGAGCAAATTAGCATAAAGTAGAGCAGCTTCGATGAGAGCAAATCAGCAGAAGGTAGAGAGCAGATCAGCAGAAGGTAAAGAGCAGCTTCGGTGAGAGCAGATTTGTAGAAAGTAGAGAGCAACACCAGAGATTGGACACAGCAAAGAGGGAGGGGAGCGCCGACGGTGTCAGAGAGGGTAGAGATGCAGAGAACTTGGGTTGGGACTTGGGAGTTGAGGCTCGAGGGTTTTCACTTTCAACAAACAAGTTCAGATTTTAGAGAGTTTCTAATTTAGTTTTTTTTTTCTTGATGATTTTGCAATTTTTTTGAAATTAAGGATTAAAACCGGTATAATAAAGGAATATTGAGGGTGAAATTGGTAACAAGATTGATGCTAAATTGAGCCCGTGGTTTTTTCAATTCCATCGGTTCCACCAAGTTTGATCGATTTTGACATACAAACAGGTCTATTATACAAACTGAGCTGTTTTCACTTTTGGATAACGATTTGACCGGTTCAACCGACTAATTCGGTTTGATTTTAAAAACCTTGCTGTGTATATACAATAAAACCTTGCTGTGTATATACAATTGAATCTCACTATTTTTTAGTTAGTTTTGTTTTAGTGAATCTCATTCATCCCATTTTCAAATTCAAAAATTGAACCCAAGAGGGACATTTTAGAAAGCGCCAATTCTTTAACGGCCTTCTGATCATCATATTCAGATAAAACAATGTGTTTTTTTTTTTTTTTATCATTAAACACGCATGGAGTTTTCATTAACACCCAATAATCACGTTCTTCTTCATCCATAAAGGCAAACACAAAGATCTTATCACCTAAGGGACGAACTTGTAAGCCCCCTCCCGTATTCGCCATAAATGAGTCATATGAGCTTGCAATTTTGTAATATTCACTGCCCTACGAGTAAGGACCTTTCCCACCAAGCGATAGTAGCCCAGCATTTCTGCTTTCATCTCCGCCGTACCTTGGACAGTAGCTATGTGATGAGCTGTGTCACCTTAAAACTACTTTCTATCAAATATAAGGAGAGTTTTGAACAGCATATAATTCCAAAATATAGGTACAAGAAGATAGAAAAACAATCCATACAAATCCAGAACGGAATGATGACATATCTTACAAATGAGTTGTAACTAACTGAAATCACAACAAACAATTCAACAAAAAAGAAATGCAGTAAAACCTAAACAATGTCAACAATGCATTCATTTGAGGCTCTTGGTAACCTTAGTAACAATTTGGTGATCTTCAATCGATCATGATATTCTGCCTCAATATGAATTTCCATGCATCCTAGAACTTTTGCACTTTGAAGAAAATACTTTGCTAGTTCAATTTCAATTTCACTGCCTTCAAACCATAAAATTACAATTTTCTTCACGCTAAATGACAAACAATTGATTTCAACTGGCATAGCACTTTTCTTCTGATTCCTAATCCTTAACTTAGAAAACCGGAAAATGAGCACATTCTTTTTGGAATTAGTCTACGATGTCCTCTTCGGCTGCCGGTGAAGTCTCTCCTTCGCCTTCCGGTCAAGACTCTTCTCCGATTCAGATGCCTTTCGACATCACTTTGCAAGGAAATAGACAGTCCAGATTTTGTCCGTAATCATCTCAAGAGATCAATTGGAGGCCGAATTCGTCAAAATCTAATCATCGACAACAAAAATGGCACCCATTTCTACACCCTAGATCTTGATGGTGGCCTCAAACAAGTTACCATACTCAACTACCCTTTCAAAACTCCAATGATGATATATGGTAGAATAAGGGGGAAGATGATAGAATATGGAGGCCGAAGCGAATGGAGGGGGAAATTTGGTTATCTTTCTCTTATATCT